CTATAGGCGCCGAGCCTAGACACTGATTCTTGCTGAAACAGGTGCCACTGTGTTAGTGCCCATTCTTACACATTGAAGGATGTAATGTTTGTGCTGAGGAATGGTATTGTGCCGATCAATCGTGAATGGTGCTGCTGCTGCTGCTGCATGTTAATGATCTCTCTCACTCTTACCCACTGCCCCCTGAGGTCCCTCTGCTTAGGGACCGGCCTTCACCGAGCACTAGCCGTGTCACACTCCCTCTCTGGCTGGCAGCAGGTCTTCCAGGCTGTGAGCACCACCAGGACAGCAGAAAGCTGGTCCTGGGTCTGTATTTTGATTTCGTACATTTTCATTCATAATGATTATAACCCATTTCTTTTAAACCCATTCATAGCACAGACTTAATTCAAACGAGACTTCTCTCCATCCCCTTTGATGGTGTTTTTAGGGTGGTTGAAATGATGTGATCCAGCTAGAATTATCCCAGTCTGCCTGGGTTAATCTGTGTGACATAGGGCAAGTTATTCAAGGGCTCCACGCCCGGTGTTCCCTGCTATAAAGTGGACTTAATGTGCCAATTTCAAATGGATTGTTGAAAATTTCCTGCGGTAAGTCAAGTCCATAAAAGGTGCACAAACAACAGCAGAGGCAGGTCGGGCTGTTGAAACAGTAGCGTGGGGCCAGCACAGGGCATGGAACAGAGCAACTCACCCCTGACCAGCTGGGCGTCTGGTTAATTCCTCTGCTTCAGCTTCTTCACCTGGAAGAAGTCTCCGCACCCTGGACTTCCTGCATTGGAGGGAACAGACAAACGCATCTCTGCTCTGGCTCTTACACACACACACTGTATGTCCACCTACACTCATCTACGCCCATCTAGTAACTTTCTATTGAGCCTCTATTTGGATCCGGCTCTGGACTCTGACGGTGCTATCCACACACACAAACAGATCCACTCTGATGTTCTCGGAGTGCAGCTGGGAACCTTGTCAAAAAGCAGATTCTGCAGATTCTGATTCAGGAGGTATTCAAGGGGCCTGGGATTCTGCGTGTCTCACAAGCTCCCAGGGAGGTTACTGTGCCAGGCATTTCAGGTATTCACATCCAAATGCTAGCATGAGTGAGGCAGGCGATGTCACTGTGTCACAGTGCTGGGAATCCCTGCCTGGGCCTGGCACCCAGTCTGAAGGCAACTACAGTTTCCATAAAAGCACTGTTCCCCCTCAGAAATGCGCCTGTGCACTGCATTTAGCCCTGGGCTGGGAGGTCCAAGAGCAAGGCTCCTGCAGGCTGTGGTATCCCCATGAGGACCCCTTTTCAACATCCAAGGTGACACCTTGAATGCTGTGTTCTCACACTGTAGAAGGGCCAGAAGGAGCCAAATTCACTCTCTCAAGCCTTTCCTAAGGGCACTAATCCCACCCATGAAAGCTCCATCCTCATGACCCAGTTGCCTCTTAATACTATCTAAATATCTTGGGAATTAAGTTTCAACATAGGAATTTTTGAGGGGCACACAAACATTCAGACCACAGCAGCCTCCAATGCCCTCTTTGAATAACAGAGTGACAGTTTGCTGTCTGTGCACCCTGGGCACACCCATTAATTCTAATCCCACAGACGCTCTGCAGGTTTGTATAACCATTCTATTTCACAGGGAAGCAAACTAAGGTTCAGGGTGGATTGACTGAGCTCAGGAGTTCAAGACCAGCCTGAGCAAAGTGAGACTCATCTCTACTAAATATAGGTTGGTGTTGTGGCAGGCGCCTATACTCCCAGCTACTTGGGAGGCTGAGGCAAGAGGAATTTGAGGTCGTTGTGAGCTATGACATCAGGGTACTCCACCCAGGGTGACAGAGTCAGACTCTGTCTTTAAAAACAAAACACAGTAAGCCTGAAGATAGAGATGGTGGTGGCGGCTCAGGTTTGAGCCCGGCTCTAACAGGCCACACTCCCCTTGCTGTGCTGTGGGGTTAGTTGGTTTCTGGGGCCAAAACCCAGGGTAGCCTGAGCACGGGAGTCCCCAGAGTGGGGTTCCAGTGCTGTGTCTGCTTTTCTGCTATTGCAATCAGGAGGCCCTGGTTCCAGACCTGGGGGAAACTGACCCCTGCCCACCCTCACCCTTGACTTGCTAAAGACACGACCTGGGTCCTTCTAACATCAGAAGCCACCAAGGCAAGTGGTGTGACCACACCCAGGCCTGCCTGCTGGCACCTACTCAGCTGCGTGTCTGAGTGACCCTGCAGCTCTCAGGGTGGCTTCCCTTTGCTCCCCTCGTCTCTGAAGTCCGAGAGCTGGTAGGAGAGGAGCCGTGAGGAGTGTGAGTCTCTAGAAGTTCCATTGTCTATGTCTCTAAGTTCTTCATTTAACTCAGAATGTACAAGAAGTCCCACTATGACTGGGGCTAAAAATGGGGGCCTACAGCTTATGGTTTCTTTATCACAGGTGAAGTGAGGCAGGCTGTGTTCTCTCTGGCAATGCACACGCCTGCACATGCATAGACACGCGTGCACACACCTGCAGCGTGCCAGGCTTGTTCCTAGTCACCCTCAGGGATCTGGGTCAGTCCCCTCTGACCCTTCTTCCAACTCCAGATCTGGTTTCCAGAGAAGACCAGAGGTGGGAGTGGGGGTGACGCCTCTGCCTCTCCTGGCCCCTCTGTGCAGTCTGCTCATGGGAGGCAGGAGTGGGGTTAAAGGAAACTGCTAGAAGGGCTGGAGCCTTTTACCCAGAGGTTCCAGTGGCAGGTGTGCGAGAGCTTTCAGATTCGAGGGGGTTTTGTGCAGCTCAGCAAATGTCTCCCAGGAAAAACCTTCCCCTTGATGTAAGCTGACCCAAAGGACCTGAATCAGACATGCAAGGATTGTAGCTGTAATAGAGCAGATAAGAGTACAACATGCCCAAGAAAAAGATAAACAAGCACGTTTTTTATGTCACGGCGTTTTCCTCCACACTGGGTTATAGCACAGCCTCCTCCTGGCCTGCAGGGTCATGCACGCTCTATAGGGGCTGTTCTCCTCTTTGGAGCCCGGGCCAAGTCTTGGGTCCTCTCTGGCTGATGTTCTTCCTGCTGCAGCCACCGTGGCGCCCCTTGGGACACCCACGCCAGTGAGGGTGCCGAGTGGGGTCTGTGGCCTGCTCCTGCCTGTACTGAGACGGTGCTGGATTCCTACAAGCCGTCTTTTCTCTCCTTCCTGGAGAGACAGACCCCTGAGTGTGGGCGTCCTCACAGACTGAGGGGCAGAACTTAGACGTACTTTACATTTTCTTGTCATGCGCCCCTGTCCTCTGACCCCATGAAGGGGACCGTGACGGGTGGGTGCCCCACTTTCTGAGAGGCTCCTGCTGGGGTCTTACTCCATCCTCATTCCCCTTGGCCTGGTCCCCAGGAGTCTTGGGACGGCAGAGGGCAGGCTGATTGCACCTCCTTAGACCTTCTGAAGTTTGCGTGGACAGCTGGAGTAGGGAGGGTGGGTGAAGTTCTTCTAACACCAGCCTCTCGTTTACAGAAAAGACTGAGGGGCTGCCCTTTGCAACCCAGGGAAGTGGATGAGGGGCCCTTGGGATCCGCTCTGAGGCTGCCTCTCCACTGCTGTGGTTTGGTCTCGGTGCTTTCCTAACCTCCGTTTTCTCATTGTGGGTTACTGAGGGTCAAGTGGCACAATCCAGGCATCCTGCAGGGCCTTGTCCATGTCAGTCCCTCTGGTTCTCCCACTGTCTTTTCTTTGATGCTAATTATCGACAGAGAATTTCCTCCACTAGGCTAGAAAATTCCATTAACTTTGTCTTAGGTTTCTTAGCACCTGGGATAATGCCTGGCGTATACCAGTGACATGGCAAATGAACCAGTATCCTGCAACCTGCCAGGGGCACCCAGCACACCACACCCCCAGGAGACTGGATATCTGCCCTGGGGAAGGCCCCCCATCGCGGGCATTCCCGGACCCCAAAGCCGGCTTCCTGCCACTCCTTCTCACAGAAGCACATGAGTCTTGGGGAGATTTCAGAAACTTTTATTATTACTCTTTGTTTAAAGCCAGCCAGCGGGGATGGGCAGATGTCTGGGCCCTTTGGGGCTACATTCCTCCTCCAAGATCAACCCTGCTGCCTCCCCAGCTCGCCCCTCCCTCTTGCCAGTCACTCAGGATCACCAGGGTGAGAAAGTGGCACCCATGCCCAGGGCCCACCGGCAGACCCAGCTGCAGCGCCAAGATCTGGTCTCCAGAGAAGACCAGAGAATCTTGGAGGGGGGGGAAGGAAGGGCTGTGTCCCCGGCAGGCTGCTGGCTCAGCCCCTCCCCACACCCTGTCCCAGGACCCTCCTTCTCTCTGCCTTTCTGCCTACTAGGGGTTCTGGTGACCCCAGCTGGACACCCCTTTCTCTCCAGGGGGCCGTCCTTGCATCAGCATTGAACGGTGCCCAGGTGGGTGGCTCTCGGCTGCCGCCATCCCCTTTCCCAGCCACGGGGGTTCCTTGTCTTCCTGCCCTTGGTGAAGGAGCGAGGAGGCCAAGGACATCTGCAGCTCCGGCTATGCCATGAGCTTGCCTGTTTGGTGTCCTGCTCCCAGGCAGACTTCCTCCAGCCTGGGCTGACATTTGGCTCTGGCCCTCCCAAGTGGATCTTCCCTGTGCAATGGTCTGAGGTGTGTCTGGATGTGCCCCCTCCTGTCAGCCTGCAGCTGACCTGGGCCCAGGACCCCAGCCCTCTGAAAGAAGATCCCCTGTCCCCGCAGCAGAGTCACAGCAGCCCGTCTGGGGCCCACAGCCGGGTCATTGTAGTCTCCTGTGCACCTGTGCCCCACCATGGCTGGCATTCCCAGGACTAGAATTGGCAGGGCCAGGCCCACAGAAGGGCCCGGGGGTGGGGGTAGAGGGGTTTCCAGGTCTCTGGAGGTGGCTGTCTCCCTCTCCTTTAGCTAGACTGGCCTCCCTGTGCTCCTCCTGGCCCCACAGGAGCGTGGGGAGGGGAAGGGAGGGGCTGCAGCAGCCGGGCCTGGCAGGGACGTGGCAGGGGTGGCTCACGCGCTGTGCGCACCCAGGCTGAGCACCGAGAAGGCCGCGCGGTGCTTCCGGAGCAGCAGCCGGATCTTCTCGTCGTCCGAGTCGGGGTCCAGCGGCTTGTTGTACTCGTCGTCCTCGGTCTCTGAGGCGGCACGGTCCCCGCCCGCCCCTGCGGTGCCCTGGGCCCGAGGCGTGGAGGAAGACGGCTCCAGGGCACTCTTCTTCCGCCACTTGGTCCTCCTGTTCTGGAACCACACCTGGGGTGGGGGAGATTGAGGGTCCCACGCATGCACACACACGTCTGCACAGTGCCGACACATGTGCACACTTACAGCAGGCACAGGGCCTCTTGAGGGGCGACCCTACTCGGAGGCAGAGCAGGGTGGCTGGTGTCTGTACACAGTAGAATACCTGGCTGGGCACACCGTGGACTGCATGAGCCTCACATTCCTTTCGGGCGGGAGGCAATGAAATGAAATGAAATGGAAAACACCTGAGTGCAGCAGTCCTTCCCGCCCCGGCGTGGCCCTCTCATCCTCCTCCAACCTGGCACGTGGGCAGAAGAAGCTGGCACAGTGGCATATGCAGGAAGCAGCAGGTCGCGCTTACCAATTGTCCTCTCTCTTTGGGCTTCATAGAGCCTCACTGAACTTGACAGAAAATGTCCCCAACTAGCAAACAGCAAGGTGCATCCTTGGGATAGTTGAGGAGGGTGGAACACACCATGTCCCCTGCCCAGCCCCAGGGTCCTTCGCCCAGAGAGCTGATCTGTGGCTGGTGAGGAAGCGGAGGCGGTTCCAGGACCCCCAGCACCTCCTCAAACCTGCCTCTGTGCTGGGCAGGGGCAGGCCATTCGTGGAGCTGAGAATGTTCCACGGATTTCAGGCCCCCACCCAGAGTCCCTTAGCAGACAGCTCCCGTCAGAGTGGGACAAGTGGCCCCGGGAATCTGAGGAAGAAGAGGCAGGTTCCTGCACCATTTTGGGTGGCTCTTCAGGTTCCTGTGCTGTGGCCCCCAGGGTGGGAGTCCTCCCTCCCTGACCCTATAGGCTACAGGGCTTCGGACGCCAGAGCGCCTGTCTGGCTCTCTTGAGCAGGACAGGGTACCGCTGCCTTCATTTTAAGGACTGGAGAACCCAACCCTGCTCCTTTAGCTGGCTGTTGGATCAAGCCTGAATCCCAATGTCACCTTGCTCAGAAACTGCTGTCAGCCCTTGGGATTTCCTGCCAAGTTGGGGTCATGCGGGGTGGGGAGTTGGCGTCCCATGCATCTGGTGTAGAGTCCCAACTCTGCCCCCACTGCCCGCACCTTCAACTGTATAGTGAGCAATAACACCGACCCCCAGGTTGCTGAGGGTGAAGTGAGGCCCTCAGGACCGGGCTCAGTGGATGACACCCTTGCTTTTTGCTGTGGCTAATTGTGACAGGCTCTAGGGTTAGGTGGGCAGCCGGGAGAACCTCCCTCTGAGGAGCCGGGAGTTGCTGGGATGGCCTGGCCGGCTCTATCCCCTGCAGTGGCGTCTTGTCCTGGCAGACTCCTCCCTGCAAGGCAGATACCTTGTCCTGCACAGACTCACCTTGACCTGCGATTCGGTCATGCCCAGGGAGTATGCCAGCCGCGCCCTCTCGGGGCCAGCCAAGTACTTGGTCTGCTCAAAGGTTTTCTCCAGGGCAAAGATCTGGTGTCCCGTAAAGGTAGGTCGGGTGTGCTTCTTCTTGTGGACGCTGTCACTCAGAGGGTCTGGGGCTGGCAGGAGGAAGAACATGTGGGTTAGCAGGAGGGAGCCCAGGCACTGTGCACCACCCGCAAGATGCCAGCCTGACCTGGCCTCTCCCTCTGCAGAGAAGCCACTAAGGTCTGGGGATTGTGATACCTTCCCCCGAGCTTCATTCCTGCCATTAAGACAACAGTGACTTCCACCTGTGGCACCTCTGGGGTGGCATCTGCTGTGGGATGTAGACACTCAGGGTACCCTGGCTGTCTGTCTGGAGATCTCACTGTTCACTGACCCTGAGGGGCCATAGGAGTTTCCACACTGTCCTGGGAACTTCTCTCTGGGTCTTATTGGATCTATAATCCGGGTACCTAAGGCCACTTCTTTGCTCCTAGACCCCACCTTCCCAGGTCTCCAGAAAACCAGGGAGGGGCAAAGTCTCAAGTCCTAAGTTGCCACCAAGGCCTAGAAGTCACATGGCTTTACCCACTGTGTGGATTCTGGGCACGGAGTCTGGAGGCCCCAGCCTGGCCAGGGCAGCCTGCTCGGGCAGGAGCTGCAGGCAAGTGCAAAGGGTGCAGTCTGAGAGCTCAAGAGACAGGTTAGGGAACTGAGGCACACAGAGAGGAAGAGAGACCAGCCCCTGCCTCCTTTCACCTTAATTCAGCAACTTTCTTAGATCTTTTCCAGTGACTGACTGAAGAGTAAGAGGGTACAGAGAGGGGTTGTGGAGTGGGGAGATGGAGGTAGAGAGAGCCAGCTAGGCTTAAGCACCCCCAAACCAGGCCACAGGTTCTAAGAAAGGAGGTCTTCACCCCTGGACCTCCCCTGATTTCTGGTTAAGTGGGGGTGGGCTGTCAGTGTGACCACCTGGGTAGTGTAGTGGGTGGCAGGGCAGGTGTGCTCTGGGGTTTCCTTGCCTGGCCCAAACCCCTTCTTCCAGTGGGGGAGCCCAGAGATCAGACAAAAGTGGAGGCTCCCTCCACCCCGCCCCCACCTGATCTGGACAGGACTTGGTGGCACAGGAGGGCTCCTGACACCACTATCACCTCCTACCTTCCAGGTGAACCTCGCCTGCCTATGGACATCCTTCTGCCCCATCTAGTCTCTGACTGGCACCACGGGCCCACCCTATACCAGTTCCCTGAAAACCCTGGCTCAGGGGTGGGTGGGCGGAGTCCGTCCTACAGCCAGGACCAGGTTCAGCCCAGCTCAGCAGCTGCTCCCAGAGGCTGGGCAGTTGGGGCTGCTGCTGTAGCCCCAGTGAGGTGGGGGCCACTGCCTCCCTCTGGCAGGCAGGACTTAGATGGGGTCAGGGTGTGTTCTGCTCCACCCAATGGTGCCACCTTCTTTGGGAAGGGGACGCTGGTACATTTCCCTCCCTGGAGGATAGCGTTTGTCTGCTTTGGGTGGAGGAGTGGTGGCATGGACAGAAGTGAGGTCAGTTGCCAGCCAGACCCCGCACAGGGCAAGTGTGAGCTGTGGGGTCTTGTCTGGCCTGGAACTTCTCCCAGGTGTCCTTGGAGGGCCACTGAGGTGGCACCTTCATCCAAGTATAGCTGGGGAGGAATTGGGAGGGGAGGAATTCTATCCTGTGCCAAGCTGAGGACACAAGTCCAGGTGCCTGAGTGGGGTTGTGTGATGGCGGTAGATGGGAGGGCCTAGGGTCCCCTCCTGAGTCCTGCTCCCAGCCCCCTGTTCCCAGCCTGGGCGCGGGTGTGGGCAGTGAAGGCTGCCCGGTACTCACTGTTGCTGCACTGCCGCCCATTGCGCCAGTCCGGGCCTGTGTCCGCCCAGCAGTTCCGGGTCCGGGTGGGGTACTCGTTCCCAGGCTTGGAAAAATTTCCTACCTGCGGGCTGTAGTAGACCCCTTGGGATCCGAGTCCACTGAAGCCTGCCACGTGGGGGTAGCTGGACAGGAGGCTGCTGTTTGGTGTGGCCACCGGTCTGCTCAGGATGTCCGTGATCCCATGGGGGGTCCCGGCGGCCAGCTGGGGGCCCAGCCCTGGGGGGCTGAGCTTGTAGAAGGAGTTCTGCACGGAGTACTGGCACACGGGAGCCTTCATCTCCGAGAACTGAGCCAGTGGGGTGCTGTTTAGCAGGAAGGACCCCTGCAGGTTGGACTCCATGGTCCCCGGCTCAGGGTGAGGGGAGGTGAGAGGCTTCGGCCCAGGCTCCTAACACCTGAGACCCCACGTCCTGGCCCAGAATCTCATGGCACGATGGCAGGGTCAGAAATACCTGCCCTACAGCATCCGGCCCAGCAGGCCCAGGGACCCACAGGTCAGCTGCTCGGAAGTCAGGTGCTCCAGGCAGGTGGGAGCCGCCCCAGGGCTCCTAACTGCGCCCGACCTTGGCCTGGCGAGGGTGGCTCCCCACGCCTCAGTGCAGACCCTATTTCTGCTTCTGAGTCTGGGGACCCTCCATGAGAAGTTTTAAGTTCAGAGAAGGCACATTTCCCTGATAAAGATAGGTCCATTAGAATACAGACCCAAGACTGGCTGAGCCGCGAGAGCTGAGCTGCCATTGGTCAGAGCCCACACGGGCTCACATTGGCTTTTCCTAGACAAATTGCACTTTGAAAGATTGACTGTAAAATCAGTCTCTCTGTGTGTGTGTGTGTGTGTGTGTGTGTGTGTGTGTGAGAGAGAGAGAGAGAGAGAATAAGCTCCAGAAGCTCTGTTTATTGTCAGAGAGTCCACCTGCTTCCTCCAAGTCCAAGTCCAGCTCCTAGAAAAAGGTGAGTGTCTGGGGGTCCCTGGAGGTTCTGGAGGCAGCTGGAAGTCCCAGTTCCTGAAGCTGCTCCCTGCAGGAGAGGAGGCTGGGCTCAGAGGTCACTGTGGACCTGCTACCACCCATTCATGTGCACACACCCACGTGTAGCAGATGGCAGCTGCCTGCTCCCCAGGGCTGCTGGGATGGGTAGATGGGAGCTGGGCAGTGCCTGCTTTCGGTGGCTGGCTCAAGAGGCCAAGTCGGGAGACTACTGGCCAGGGCCAGGCAGTGGGCCCCTCTGATGGTGGTAGGGTGTGTGTCTCCCTGCCCAGCTCTGGGTGCCTGTGCTCTCCTCCACCTCTGGGCTGCCTGCTTTGAGCTCCCTGGAATCCCTTCCACATTTGTTGTGTGGAGCAGTGACTGTGTCGTATCGGGCTTGGCGCCTGGGCTTGAGAGCTGGCAGAGGACTGCCCTGTGCTGGGTACTTGGTTGATACTTAGCTAATATTTGAAGCGTGGGACTGGATTGAATGGCAGGGCACCCATATGCCCCTTTTCCTGCTAATAAATTTTTATAATGTACAAAGTTCTACTGGGACAATCTCTAATTTTACAAACAGAGAAACCGAGGTACAGAGGAGTCAGGGCCCAATTTCCAGGTACTTGGGTTCTTTTTGTATTAGGCAACTTCTTTGAAGTTTTTGTCTAAAAATGGAAATTAGCATGTCGCTGGTCTAAACATGCAAAATGGTGGAAAAATAGTGACTGTCAGACAGATGACCTCTGCATCCTCCTCCTCACCCCCTGCCTGGTGGCCCCAAAGCCCTTCCTGCCCAGGCCATGGGCTCTGCAGGGCTCACCCTCTCAGCTGTCTCCACCACTGTCTGTGCTTCGGCACGGGGAGGCCGTCTGGCCTTCTCCGTGGTTCCAGAGTTCAACTGGAGGGCCAGGGCTCAGAGGGGTCCTTCTATGTGCTCTGGGGGGCAGGGATGATTTATGTTAATGCAAGGGGGGGCCTCCACAAAGGGTGTGGAGGTGACTTTTCATAAGTTTGGATTAAAAACAAGATAAGAAAAAAAGCTTCTTAACCATCTCAGTTGGCTTTGTTACCAGGCTATGCATGACAACCATTGGGGAACTTAGTTCTGATCCCCAGTGTGGCCACCAGACCCTACTCAGGCAACTGTGATTCTGAAGCTGCGTTTTAAAAAGTCCCCTGCAGGGGACTCAGCAGGGCTTGGCCCACTAGCCTGAGTGGCCTTGCTGACTCTGGGAGAGGCGTGCATTGGGATAGGAACTGGGGGCGGGGGGGTTCTTTGAGGACCTTGGGACTGTGACTTGGTCACCCCTCATGATTGAGATTTTAAAGACAAGGAAGGTGCAACAAGTAATTTCATTCTTAACTGATGCCATGTCTGACAAAGGTGTTGTTATCTGGGAACCCCAGGATGACAAACTGAAGTGACTTTTGCAATGGCCAAATCTATTCCCCCATTTCACAGACAAGGAAACTGAGGCCAGCTTGGTAAACAGCCTTGCAAGAAATGCTAGGAAAAGGACTATTTTCTCTCTATAGCAAGAGCAAGTTCTTGAACTTTGAATGACATTGAACACAGGGCCTAGACACCTTCACAGGGAGTGCTGGGAGGCCTCACTGCGTGCCAGTGGTGAGCCTGGGCAGGTACCCTGGTGGGGTCCCCTCCCACGACCCCCAACTTCCCCCCATCTCATGGTAGCCATTAGATGGGACAGGAATTTGCTTTGCCAACTCTCAGAGGGTCTTCCAGGGTGGGTGGTCCTAATTAAGGAGTGTCCAGGCTTCTAGGAAGCAGGGCATTGCTTGCCCCCAACCCTGGTGCTCTGCCGACGCGTCTCACCCACAGACTCCACACCCCAACCCAGGCTTTGCCCCTGCCTCAGCACCACAAGCTCCCAAAGACCTGCGGAAAGGAGAGATGGAGCCCTGTGCCATGAGTCAGTTTCTTTATTAATTTTGACACTGGTTCAGCTGGTGTAGGGACAATGGTCTATACATCAGAGTGGGGAGGGGGATTTTCTCCCAGTAACGGAGCATGTGGGAGAGAGTCAAGAAAAGGTTTATTTTCATAACAATTAAAAAATCAAGGTAATTTCAAAACTTCTAAAAAGCGTCTAATGTGCAGACTGCAGCATTCTCTAGGCATCGTGTGGAGACCCCCACTCCTCCCCTAACAGCTCCTAATAGCAGCCGGGCGTGCAGCCATGCCAGGCGGGGCGGAGGTGCCAAAGCTTAGCCTGGAGCCACGGCGCTAAGAGGGGCTACTGGGTTGGGCTGCCCTGGGCCGGAGGTGCGGGGTGCAGCGGGGGAGGCTAGCCCTGTGCCCGTCTTCCGGGGGCCATCACCGCGTCGGTGCCACCACACGCGCCCCTCTTGCTGTGCCCCAGAGCCAGTGGGCAGGGCAACATCACCCCGGGTGCCCGGGGCGGGGCGCCTCTGCTCCCTTCCGGGGGTGGGGAAGGCCGTGGCCCCTCTGCTCCAGGGGACATGAGGAGGCAGAGGGGCCACGGAGGGCCAAGTCAGGACCTGCTGTCGCCTGTGCCCCGCGGGGAAGGCAGAGTCAGCCCCGTCGGCCCCCCGCAGGTCAGGGATGGCCGCAGGGCAGGCTGTCTGGCCTCAGGCAGGGAGGGGGCTTCTGTGCTACTTGGAAGGTTTGAGTGTGTCCAGAGGACACCTCCGAAGAGCGGCAGGGCAGAAGGTGGCAGCCATCCACCCCAGCGGCTCTGGGAGCGGGAAGAGCCTGCCCGCCTCTCTCCTGGCTCCAGAGGCGCCCCGCGGGACGATTGTGCTGATTGGGCCTCCCCCAAGGAGGCTCTAGTGGAACTGTAAGGCTCTTCCCTGATGGCACCGAGGCGAAGGACGGCCAGCGGTCTGTTTCCTTCCTGCCTGGACCCAGAGCCTGGGTGGTCAGCAGGCGTCCTCCTCAGCTCTGCTCCCACCAGGCACTCAGTCAGGACGGTCCCCTTGCTCACCTCTCCAAGCAACGGGGAGGGGAGGGCTTGATCACAGCACAGGCAGGGAGGCCGTCCAGCCTGGAGCCTTGTGCCTGCGCCCAAGCCCCCCAGCCTATGGGCTGCCTGGACTTAGAGCACCAAGTTCGCTCTGGGAGACTTTGGGGCGGCCCTGACTTCTAGGAGCTGGCAGGTGCACTCGCTGGCCCTGCTCCCTTCCTCTTTCACTGAGACAGGCGAGCTCCCGCTCCTGCAGCCTGGAGAGGTCCTCAGGAGCCGAGCTCTCAGTGCTTGGTACATACCGCTAAAGTGTTCTACTGGTTTGCATAGTAGTTATTGTTTTCATATACACAAGGCTGATTACTGTACAGTTTACACTTTGAACACCGACTATGACATAGTGCTTGAAGGTATAGAAAACCTCATCTCTAGTGAACATGCTGGTGCAATCCTGGGACGCTGCTGCCTGCACCGCCTGAGAGAGAGGACCTTTCCAGGCCTGGCACCAGCTCCCTCTAGCCCTAAAGCAAGTCTGGGGGTCCTCGCCTCACATTCCTACGTCCCTAACACAAGGAACCCCAAATGTACTCTGAAGGTAATGATTTTCCATTGGAAGATGATTAATACTGAAATTGGTAGAAAGAGACAACATAAAAAAAAATTCTAGTTTATCCACACGAAGATACTATACAGCTTCGGGTGTCACAGTAAAATCTGTGTGTACCGAGCAGAGGGGAGGGGGGCTGCATGTGTGTGTGTGTCCTGAATGTCATATGGGCGATCTGGGGAAAGCATCCACCGGGTCGTGGAGGGACTGTCACCAACAGAATGACCGTGTGGGGAGGGGGAGGCTGGTGGATGCGGGCAGGAGATTAAGGTGCGGACACCTCCGAACTGATTTCATGCTTAGTTTTCATTTTGTTTTTCTTTCTAGGAAGCCTACATGGATTTCTGACAGATGAGGTTGAAAAAACAGTACCCTGTACGAAGTCAAAATTAAAACGATTTAAAAACAAAACAAACCCCAAAACCATCCCCAGCCATAAAAAAGCCCTTGTTATTCACTTCTGCATCCCCACGCTCCCTGGAGCGAGCGCTGTCTTCTCTCCCTCTTTCTCCCCGCTCGTGCTGCTTCTGTCCTGGTTCCCGACAGAGAGACCGTGTTGTTGCTAGAGGCGGGATGGAAGGCTGTGGGTCGTGCGTGTACAGTCAGCCGCTCATGCGGACAGGGGACGGGAGGACGTCCCTTACGGAGATCATGCCGCAGCCTAGAGGGGCAGGTGCCCCGCTTCCGTCACCCTTGGGTCCAGTTCTCCTCAGTGTGCATGGCAGAGTGTGTGGAGTTCAGGGGTTGGGCGTCGAGGTGTGGTCCTGAGGGACACAAAGATAGAAAGGGTCACTTAGAATATAAAGAAGCAACTCCCTCC